ACTCTCCAGCCCACATTTATATACGAAAAGTTCGACTTGCATGTGTTAAGCATACAGTATAGCTAGCCTGTTTGGACTCTTCCAAAGAAAAGAAAGGATCTTAGGCAGACGGTGACCGGCTTTGCGAGACCGCAGTCTACTCAAGGCTAAGCTCTTTTAGCGCTGCTTTCTCGATGCCAATATCGCATTTGAAGAAAGACCAAACTTTTCTTTATCTACTTTATTTGTTCGACCTCTGGAACTTCACTTCTTTTTCTCGGTCAGGAGCCTACGGGCCGGCCTCTGACGAAAGGCCAAACTGCAATTAGAAATCTCCTTTGTGCTCCAAAGAAAGGTCTCACTCACTGAACACTAGCCTGATCATCTCCTCTCTATGTTTAGCAAAAGAGCCTTTCGAACATCAAATCGTGCGCACTCCGGACTCATTTCAAGGCTGAAGACTCGTCCAATCATCGATATTTTAGGAAGCCACCTCTAGCTAGCACAAGCTCTGCTTGTGTTTTAAATGGAAATGGAGGTGCTGACTTAAAAATTGTGAACCGTGATTTAAATATGTCAAATATCCTCTCAATTACATTTCTCAATGATGCATGACGAATATTGAACACGAAGAATGTAGCATTGCCAAACACGAAGAATACTAAGATTTTTAATATGTATCATTGCCAAACACGAAGAATATTAAAATTTTATGCTCATTATGATCCAAACAATATACAAAAGAAGAAAGTCGACAAAGAATGTATGTGGTAAGCTTATTAGTTCAATTTTAGAGATTAGATATATGTTTATTGTCAACTCTATACAACTCTCGTAAAATAAATAACGAAGCACGTCATTAATGTGAAGGAGGAATAGCAAAACCTGATAAATACATACAACAAACACACTTATTGATCATAAAAGAGGAATACCCAAACCTAAGAAAATATACGAGAGTCAAAAAAGAACATACCTTGGCTTTGAGAAAATGCTAGGGTAGATTGTGAGACACTACAATAGGAAATCCTAAGGGTTATGGTGAGATTGCGAGAGAGACATTCTTTATATTTCTCACTAAAAAGTCTCACGAGATCCACACCAATAGAAAATCCACTAAAATCGTCAGATTTTTGAATACCACAAGATTATTATTTTTTTATTTAAAATCATGATTGAATACCAATAGATTTAGACAAACTCTAAAATAAACTTTTAAAATCCTAATTGAATATCACATGACTTTTTTTTCAATTTTTTAAAATCCTAATTGAATACCAATGAATTTTTTTATGCAAAAATAATCCATTAAAATCTTTTGAAACCCCAATCTAATACATCCCCTTAGTTCTTATTTTCTCAATTTTATTTATGATTTGATATATTAAAATGAAAAAATCAGTAAAATTAAAAAACACAGCTGTGCAACATTTTGTATGGCATTTATTTTCATCTACATAGAGTGAGATTGCATTATGACTATTATTGTCCGAATTGATTGAATGACGTAATTAATCAAAAGTTTTTCTATCAATGTACAACTCATTAACTAGAGACCCTAATCCATAGAGTTTAATTAGCTGATTGAATATTTTATTCCCGTTTTAAATTTATTTTATCATTTTATTTATCTTTACAAATTATAATTTAAATTTTTTTAATTATAAATTAATTCGCCCTCGTATGATAGAAATTTGATCAACACTTATTCAATTACTCAAATAAAAATGACTTATCAAGCATTAGAGTTTTGTCAAATTTTAATCAAAGACATATTAATATATAATTTAAATAAAGGGACAAATTATACCAAAAAAATAAATAAATAAAGGGACAAATTGATATATTATTTAAAAGGGAAAAATATTTATAATTTTAAATGTTATATATTTGTGTCATTTTTAATAAAATTACGTTATTTTAATGTATTTTTGCGTTCTCTTTCCTCCACTTTCTTTTTCTTTCTAATTTTATTATAAAAGAAAATGTAAAAAATACCAAAAACACATTAAAACGACATAGTTTTATTGTAAATGATACAAAATTATGTCATTTAAAATGATAAATACTTGTTTACCAAAAAAAATGATAAATACTTCTTCCTATTTAAAAAAAAGACAAAATCATAAAAGAAATTAAAATATGAATAAAATAGTCAATCAACCAAATTTAATTTAATTCTATTAAACAAAATTTTATACTATTATTTAATAATTTATTACTGCATTATTTAATAAATTTAATAACATTATATCTTTTTTTAGTCGCATAAGAACCGATCTTGTATGCTTTCATATGAAGAATTTCCCAAGGATTAGATTTTATTTTAATGTTTTTTTACCATATGATTCAATTGATATAACCGCGAATATAAAATGTAAGTAGGTGAGAATGGGAAAGTCACTTCTTAGTTCTTACTCGGTTACTCCAGCTTCATAGCGCAAGACAAAAACGGCTACAAATTAAGTTAATGTGGCCCTTTATTAAACTATTTTCTTCTTCTCTCTTCTAGTACCTTACACCAAACACTGAGTGTGTCCTAAGCAAATTTACTTTAAGTTCTATTATCTTTTGCTATCAGGTTTTTTTTTTACTTTTTTGTCCTTCATTAATTAATTAATAATCATTTTACCTCTTATTCGAAACTATTTATCAATCTGCCCCTCTTTAATCGATTAACTTGAAGATTTAATCGATTAAATGGTCAAAACTGACAAAAATAGTTGACTTAAAGATTTAATCGATTAAATATCTCTCTTAATCGATTAAATCTCCCTCTTAATTGATTTAATCGATTAAAAATTATATTTAATCGATTAAATATACCAAATGAGTGTGAAAGCATCGATTGATTGCATTTTGTATTTAATAGGAGCTGATTGTGTTTTGTATTTAATAGGAGCTGGTTGCGTTTTATTAGGAGCTGTCATTTTACGAGTTGGTTACAGATTATCACCAATTCAAATGTTGGTATGTAGTATGTACACTGTTACTCATTTCATTGAAATGCGGCCAATAAATAAACATTTGAATTGGTGACAATTGATAACTCCTAATAAAACGCAAGCATCTCCTATTAAATACAAAACACATTCAACTCCTATTAAATACAAAACGCAATCAGTTCTTATTAAATACAAAACGCAATCAGCTCCTATTAAATACGAATCACAATCAACTCTTATTAACTTGTTGATTTGCTTCATATGCATAGAATATGCTTTTGTTTATGGAGAAGATTTAACATTTATTATCTGTTGGGAGATTTAATCGATTAACATGAAGATTTAATCGATTAAATCTTCAAGTCAACCATTTTTGTCAGTTTCGACCATTTAATCGATTAAATCTTCAAGTTAATCGATTAAATCTTCAAGTTAATCGATTAAAGAGAGGCAGATTAGTAGATAGTTTCGAATAAGGGACAAAATGATTATTAATTAATTAATGAAGGGTAAAAAAGTCAAAAACCCTCTTCTATCATGTTATCTTTATATCCATCTCTTTATTTCAGTACCTTGTGGATAGGATAAGTCAAGCACCTTGTTAAGGATATATGTTGTAATTTAGCCTAGTTAAGGTTAAAGTCAAGATTTTTTTAGAAAAGGTTTATTTAGATAAATTGATCTAACAACTTATACTTTAAAAAATCTATTATAACCCAATTCTGAGAAATATGACCGGAAAAAATTAGGCATTGTATCATGCTAGATTTAGTAAAGAAATAATATAAACTCCAATATTCACTATTAAATATTTGATAATATAAATTGATCTGACTTATACTTTAATTCTTTGATAATTTTTTATTTTGTTATATAATATAAACTCCAAGGTTCGCTATTAAATATTTTAAAGAAATAAGTTTTTAGTAATTATATTGTAAGGATTAAAGATTAAAATATAATTTTTGTCCTAATATATTATACTTATTTTAAATTTAGTTTAATTTGATCAGTACATGTATAATTATTTTTAATATTACCTTTGTTATATGTTGCCATTATAATCCTGTGAGATTGATATTAAATTATTGTAGAAAAATATTTCTGAAGTTAATGCAGATAAGTTATCTGCATTTACTTTCAAAACGACTTCATTTTGGGATTAAAAGATTAGAAAATTATAATTATAAGGACTATAATAACTATGAAATAAATTAAAATTATAAAAACATCATGATTTCCGTCCAAAAACGACGTCGTATTGAGTTTACTGCAAATAACTTATATGCAGTAACTGCAAAAAAAACAAACCCAAATTATTGTGAAGTATAAAGATCAAGCGAAATATAAAAACAAAAATAAAATATTTTGTCTCACTAAATAATATTATTTTTTAAAATAATTTATATATTTTATCTTAATAACTCCAATATCAATAATAACAAATAGTAAAGGAAAAAATGTTTATCCTTTTTAAATGATGATTATTTTAGTTAAAATTTTAGATTATAAAAATACTTATTTTCTACTCCATGATTTTCATTTTGTATTTCTTTCACTCACCTAAAAGCACCAAATGTCCTTTCAAAGGACAAATATCAAATTCGTAAGTAAATGATCAATTAAAAATAATTATAAGAATAACAATGAATTAAAACATATTTTCATATAAAGACTAAATTAAAATATATTATAATCCTGAAATAAATTAAAATTTACAAATACACTATGATTTTCGCCCCAAAACAATACGGTTTCGATCAACATTACATAAAGTTATTTATTTAGGATATATTATTCTACCTACCATTTTTTCTGTCTACCTTTGCCTACCACCCTTCAACACTATTAGATCAGAATCTCAAAGAGAGAGAAAGATAAATGCTAGTTAAGATTCTGATCTAATGATATTTTAGAGTTGTAGGCAAAATAAAATAAAATAATAGGTAGAATAACCTTTCCCTAATTATAATAACTCAAAAAAAACGAACCCTTACAAAATACATTTTAACATTATTAAACATTTTTAATCAATGTCAAAATTCATTTTTAGAGGTTTCTTCGTCCATGGTTTCATTTCCTTGTATCGTGCTTCTTCATTCAACTTTGAAACTGTGATTTTGGCGCATTCTTCATGCCAAAAACCTCCTTCATAGCAACTACACGATTCGTGCAACGACACCGTTTACGATGGGAGAACGTGTTCGCATTGGTTATTCGAAACTCGAGATCCTTTTCATTCACGTGTGGTTCTACTTCTACTACTACTTCTACTTCTATATCCAAAAACTCCTTCAAGTATCTACTCTCACACCACATCAACAATCATCGTTTAGATGAAGCTCGTGCCCTCTTTGATCAAATCCCTTCCCCTCACGTTTCCCTCTACACCATTATGCTCCTCGGTTACGCCCAAAACCACATGCTTCCCGAAGCAATCAATCTCTTTCATCAAATCCCCTCTAAGGACGTCGTTTCCTGGAACTCCATCATAAAGGGTTGCTTCGATTGCGGCAATTTCGTTACTGCACGGAAACTGTTCGACGAAATGCCTCAGAGAACTGTTGTGTCTTGGACCACCGTAGTTGATGGGTGTTTGCGGTTAGGAAGAGTTGAGGATGCTGAAACCTTGTTTTGGGCTATGCCCTATAAGGACGTGGCCGCTTGGAATTCAATGATTCATGGATATTGTGCCAATGGTAGAGTTGATGATGCTTTGCGCTTGTTTTGTCAAATGCCTTCTCGGGATGTGATTTCTTGGACTTCCATTATTGCTGGGCTTGACCACAACGGAAAGAGTGATCAAGCCTTGCTTCTTTTTCGGAACATGGTGGCTTCTGGTGTTCATCCATCTGCTACTAGTTTGGTTTGTGGGTTGTCAGCTGCTGCTAAAATATCGGCTTTTCATGTGGGTGTTCAAATTCATTGCTCTATGTTCAAGCTGGGTTACTGCTGTTTTGATGAATTTATATCTGCTTCGCTTGTCACATTTTATGCAGGTTGCAACCAAATGGAGACTGCGTGCAAGGTTTTTGGTGAGGTAATTCGTAAGAATGTGGTAGTGTGGACAGCTCTTGTGACAGGGTATGGTTTGAATAATAAGCATCGAGAGGCGTTAGAGGTCTTTGGAGAAATGATGAGAATCGGTGTGCTTCCAAATGAGTCTTCCTTCACCAGTGCTTTGAATTCGTGTTGTGGATTAGAGGATCTTGAGAAGGGGAAAGTGATCCGTGCAGCTGTAATTAAGATGGGTTTGGAAACTGGTGTATATGTGGGAAGTTCTCTTGCTGTCTTGTATAGTAAATGTGGGTGTATCGGTGATGCGATGTCTGTGTTTAAGGGGGTTAGTCAGAAAAGTATTGTCTCGTGGAACTCAGTCATTGTTGGTTGTGCACAGCATGGATATGGCATGTGGGCTCTTGCACTCTTTAACCAAATGCTGCGTGAAGGAGTTGATCCAGATGAAATCACATTAACTGGTTTGCTTTCTGCTTGTAGCCGTTCTGGGATGTTACAAAAAGCGAGGTGCTTCTTCAGATATTTTGGCCAGAAAAGATCAGTTGCACTTACAATTGAGCACTATGCATGTATGGTGGATGTGCTTGGCCGGTGTGGAGAGCTGGAGGAAGCAGAAGCACTGGCGATGAGCATGCCTATGAAAGCAAATTCAATGGTATGGCTGGTTTTACTGAGTGCATGCAGGATGCATTCTAACTTAGATGTTGCCGAAAGAGCTGCAAAACAGATATTTGAAATGGATCCTGATTGTAGTGCTGCATATGTTTTGTTATCAAACTTGTATGCATCTTCAAGCAGATGGGATGAAGTAGCTCGGATAAGGAGAACAATGAAACATAATGGAGTTGTAAAACAACCAGGATCCAGTTGGCTAACATTGAAAGGACTGAGGCATGAATTTCTATCTGCAGATAGGTCTCATCCTCTTACTGAGCAAATTTATCAAAAGCTAGACTGGTTAGGAGTAAAGCTAAAAGAATTAGGTTATGTTCCTGATCAACAATTCGCTTTGCATGATGTTGAAATTGAGCAGAAAGAAGAAATGCTGTCCTACCATAGTGAAAGGCTTGCAATTGCATTTGGTTTGCTTAGCACTGTGGAAGGCAGTACAATAACAGTTATGAAAAATCTTCGTGTATGTGGCGATTGTCATAATGCAATAAAACTTATGGCTAAGATTGTTCATCGTGAGATCGTAGTAAGAGATTCTAGTCGCTTTCATCACTTTAAGAATGGCGTGTGTTCTTGTGGGGATTATTGGTAGAACATTGTTTGTTTATACTGAATTATATACGCATGGCTTGTTTGGATTAGTTCATGATCAGAACCAATTTTACTTGGGCTGATCATGTGAACCCCCTGAAATTACTTCATGATCAGAACCATTTTTACTTAATTTCATAGTCCAGGCCACAGCTGATAACTGGAAATTCAAATGAAATCAATATTTTAGAGCCACGATACGCTGAAAAAGTCCGTTTTTGCAACGTACTTTTTTTCTGCTTTTCTGGGTCTCTCTATTTATGCTGTTCCAGATACAGGTGGCTGACCCTTGGTTCTCATTCATTTGTTTTATTACATAGTAAAATATTGCATATATGTATTGTCTAAATTATAATTTTCTATTAGTTAGCACCATCCATCATGTTCTCCAAAATATTGAATTATTAATAAGATTCCTTGATTTAAATAATTTACATTGTTTATATAGCATCCAAATGTTAGTATAAATTAACGACATATATTTTTTTTTTCAACCATTAATTTCAAATTAATTTAACTAAGAGATAGCACGTCTCTTGCCCCTATCAATTAATCTTCTTGTGCCAAAAAAAATTTCATAGTACGTAACTAAAAAATAATAAACAAAAAACATGTACAATAATTTTCTCTGAAAGCTTAGATATTACGATGATTAGCTGTCTGGGAATCTGAGTTCCCGTTAGCCTATGACCCATATTGAACAAATGAAGAGAATCCGATAGTGGTCGACAACGGTGATCATTTCCTCACATTGTTTTTCTTTTTTTTTATTAAGGGTAGTTTTGATATTTTTTTTTTAAATTTAAATCAAATTAGGAAGGTAAATGATAAATAAATTTTAAGTAAGGAGATAAATGATTAAAAATTTCAAGAAAAGGAATAAGTGATTTTGAGAAAATTTATAGGAATTTTTTTTTGAAATTTTCCCTTATTTTTTTAAAACGAAAATACAACACTATAACCGATTTGCAATTTGCTCATTTTCCCGTCGCAAAAGACCAAAAAATTAGAGAATAACTCAACCAAATTAAAAGTTCAGCAGTGCCCTTGTTGTTAAAGGCATCTTCAGTGCTTCCATCTTCAGTGCTTCCACCTTCAGTGCTATCTTCAGTGCTTCCATCTTCAGTTCTTCCATCGTCGACACCAAGGTTGGTCATGCCAGACATTGTGACCTGCGAAAGGAAGATGATTTTTTTTTTTTTGTGTACTAAACAAAAGAATAATAAACAGCCAAAAAAAAAATTAAAGAAACAAAAGCAAAACAATGTAAGAGCAGGTGAGGAACATATTCTAAGCAAGCGCCACACATTACATGCATATCAGGGCAAACAGCCTTACGCGACATACAAACTTGAAACACATCCTTAGTATTAATTCTATTGAACATCATAGTCCAAACAAAAGCCTTTGACATTAGAAGGAGATTTGGACTCCAAACTCTAATCTGATCTAGTAATTTTTATAGCAACAATTTTTATTAATATTAATAATTGATATTAACATGTCATCAAGAGACTCTAAAACATTTGAATCTGAAGATTCAGAAAACTAACCTTCTCCTTTAGAAGTTCAGAAGTTTCCCTGTTGCCATTGGTATCTGATAATGAGAAGGAATCAGTCACCACAACTGCATTCTTCTCCGTCGCCTCGTGTGTCATCTTCCAATCAGGATTTTTAAACCAGGTAAAAAGAAAAAGTATGAGAATGGGTTAGGTTCTGATAGCCGAGGGTTTCGTAATAGATAGAAAAAAGTTGGCCGGCGGTGCAGAAAGAAAAAAATGGAAAAGGAGAAGGGGTAAATAGGTTAGGTTACGATTTGATTTAAATAGTGCGAGGGAGTGGGAGTGTATTGGACTGAGATTTCAAAAGGTTTTAATGGATTGTTTCTTGACAAGAAAATTCGCGGGTATTCGATTAGAATTTTAATTCGATTAGAATTTTAATGGATTGAAAATAAGTCAAGTGATATTTGATTAGAATTTTAAATGATTATTTTACCATCCGTCCAAATCTGTTGGTATTCAAACAGAATTTTACACAATGAAATCACAATGTATTCAAAAATCCGACGATTTTAATGGATTTTCTATTGGTGTGAATTTCGTAAGACTTTTTAAAGAAAAATATAAATAAGATGTCTCTCTCACAATCTCACCCTAATTCATAAGATTTCTTGAGATTTTTCTATTGCAGTGTTTTCTTCTTCCTTTGGTAGGTTGACTGCTCGAAATTGGGTTCCGCCATTGAAGTTTCGTCAAAACTAAACAAAAAGAGCACATTTTTGAGAGATTTTAATCACAAAACAATTCAGAAACAACAAACCAACGAGATTTTAATATAATCTATCTCAAAAATAATATATTTTTTAGCCAATTTTTAGAAATTTTGGAAGTTTAAAAAGTGATTTTCCAAGCTATGGGTCGCGATTTTTCTTGGCACAAAAACGTGTGATTTTTGTATTAAAAACAACATAAAACCTTCAAACCAATTTTCGTTTTACATCAATGAAACAATATCAATTTAAAGAAAGATTGAAACTTTCATAATATGAACCCTATATTTCGTAACAATACATTCATGAACGAAATTCCTTAACTATAGAAAACGATTTCAAACAATTTTTGTGTCAATAGATAACTAAAAACTTGTTTCTCAAAAGCCCTAAAGCAATTTAAGGTTTCAATGTATTGATTGAAAAAATTTTGAATTTTTTTCTAAACTTTCATGTAATTAAACCCAAAATTTCAGATTCAAAATTTTCTTAGAATATTTAATGAAAATATGCATATGATATATGGTTAGAAAATTCTCATCATGTACAACAAAAACCCCAAAGTTTTCAAGATCAATTGCCAAAAATTCCAAATGAAATTTTATCATGAACTTTAGGTTCTATATGCAAATTTATAATTATTTTTATAATTAAAAAAATTGGGTCTTATAATATATATGCATAGCTTTGATACCAAATGGAGAAGATAATTTTCAACCCATTAGATATGTGAAAAGCTGTTGTTTGGTAAATTTGAATGTTTGTTAAAAATTATATTATGTTTTATTGATTGAGAAAATTATATAAGGTTTTACTTTTTTTTATTAATTTCATTGCTTTTTTTGTTATTTTTGTTATGTAAAAAATTATACTTACAACCTATTTTTGTTTACAACCATATTTTAACCGTTTATTTCCGTCAATCAATGGTTATTATTTTCGCAAATCAAACTCATTAGTTAATATTTAATTTGCAATGAATGATAACCGTTGATTGACGGAAATCAAAGGTTAAGATATGGTTGTAAAATGTTGTAAACAAAAATAGGTTGTAAGTATAACCTTTCCCTTTTGTAATTTTGAATTTTTGTCAAAAATTCATATGGTTTTTTAAAATCTTATAAATCCATATCGTCCTTTCAAATCTTATAAATTCTATTAAAATTCTTTAAAATCCAATCTTATGAAATCTTGATTGTAAAAAAAATCTTAAAGTCTCTCCAATTCTAAATAGTCTTCTAAAATCTATAAGATTTTTTATCTCAAAAGTCTTTTAAAATTCTAATCCAATACACTTCCTAAGTTTATATAAATAAAATATTGTAGGCCTAATCTGACCTGTTACTGTTGGCCTTATATAAGCCCAAATTATAAGTCTGGACTATTAGTATTATATAGGCCCAAATTATAAGTTTGGTTTGATCCATATTTAAAAAATGAAAAACTTAGCTTAGACATGTTAACGTGTTTAAACTTATTAAAAATTCAATAATTATTATCAAAATTATTTAAATAATAATTTTATTTATTTTGTTTAAAATAAATAATATTATATAAGCTGGCCTATAGGCCGGTATGTAAAAGAGAGCTTATGGCCTTTTTTTTAATATAGGTCTGCTCTAGTTAATTATATTTAATAGGCCGAGTCTGGCCTGATATAGGTTAGGCCATAGGCATTGAAGGTCGGCCTACCCCATTTACAATCCTAAAGAGAAGGTTCGAGATTTACTGCACAAGTACCACGTCATGAAAATTTATTCAGTATTTAAAAACTTAGCTATAATCAATATTATTAAACCTGGTCCGGTCATTGATTCGATTAAAGTACTGGCCACCTGATCACTAGTTCAACCAGTGAATCACTAGTTTAATCGTATGACCCGATAAATGTATGCAAATTTATAATTTATTTTAAAAAATAAAAATATACTTAAATACCTATAAAAAAATACCAATTCTAAATATTTTAATATAATAATAATAAATCACACATCATTATACAACAAAAGATCAAACACATATAATGCTTACATCAATACAACTAGCACACGAGGACTTCTAGATGATTAGTTTTTTTTTTTTTAATTTCACATTTTAAACTGGTTTAAATTGTAAAAAAATATTGATTTATTTTTTTATTTACTTTTTTTAATTATTGGATACATAATCTTTTTACATCAATTAATTTGAAATTAATATGATATTACTGTTACGAGTTATAGGAAATGACACGGCACCTATAGAAGTGGTGGAATTAGATAAAGGACGATTACCCTCTTAAATTCATTAAGCATTTGTTTTAAACTACATTCAAGTTTATAAAAAAGACAAAAATGTGTCATTTTAAATGACATAAATTAATTATTTTAAATGTCTTTTTTGTTGGACTGACATTTTTTTTTGTCAATCTCTTTTTTAAGATGATCTCAATTTGTATCTTTTAAAACAACACATATATTCTCTATAACAAATTGTGCTATATAAGTCTGTCCCTCTCATAATTATTACTTCTAATGTATGACATATATATATATATTGGACAGAGCAACACAATGATTAACAAATTGTACTTTGAAAGAACAAATCGATAAAAAGAAATTTTTTCTGGGTAATCATTTGTCATAAGCATTTATTTTTACAGAACGTGGAAAAGAATTAAAAAATTAAACTGAATTAAACGCTTATGACATAATTCTTTAAAAAAATCCGTTTATGAACTAAACTAGTTTAAAAACCAAATTACTTTTAAAAACCACTTCAAAAATCGAAGTAACTTAAAAAGCAAGTTCGTAAACCAAATTATTTTTTTATTTCCTTTTTCTCTTCTTTTATTT